TGAAATTATTGGTGCTCTCGGAGGACATAACAGGCAGTGTCTTAATCTTCATTTTCCTATCTTTAGTAGAAATGAAAGTTTTTATGACCTTGAGTTTGATTTAGTGGAGTAATACTTTTTTGAATCAGGACTGCGAGATGGAGGCATTAGTAGCCGGATTGGTTGCAGGCCTTCCATGCTTCTTACCGGGCCTAACACGCAGCATACGAGCTTGTCCATTTACATACTCATGCGAGCTGCTGTATTGGCATCACGCTGTGGAATAAAGAGTAAACGGTTTGGGAAGCTTTGTAAACCTCTTACTTGGAAGCATGGTGACATATTCCTTATGTGTCTCTCCTCTTCGCAAATTTTGTATGTTCCTTTTATTAAATTCTCTTGGTTATTGCTGTTGTTTTCTGCTACTAAATGTTAGTGCAATTGTTCTCGTTGGATCATGGTCATTATCAGTTGTAGTAGTTACCACCTCGACTAGGTGACTAAGCCTTGTGGGATTCTAGTCTCCTGGATTAAGAACCCAATCCTCCGGGTTAAGTTTCCAATTTATTACAATTTCCTTGCAGGAACATTTAAGAGAAAAAGAAAGTGTGATACTGTAACATTGTGGAGGCATTCTGAAATATATCGGACTATATAAGATATGAGTCACGAGTGAAAGTCTAATCAGCATGCCAAGGGACTTTATTGTTCTTTTTCTTTGTCCCTTTTAACTATCATTGAACCTGTTAAAGCTGACGACCAAAATTTAAATGTTTGCCTGCTGCCTTGTCATCTCTATAGTAAAAAAGTTCATTAAATCTTGGGCTTCAAAGCAGGAACTTTGATACTTAAATCTAAAAATTGGTCACACTATGTCATCTCATATCTGAAAAGAAAGTGGAAAAATATTTGCTTGAAGTAAAGGTAAGTGATCATACTTTTTTGGCATCAGTTGAAAAGGGCTGGATGACATCGTGTAGCTTTACAAGTTGTACACGTAATGGCATCCAAAACCACGGTTTGGGGAAAATTTTACTCAATATATTTTCCTAAGAAGATGATGAATGTACTTTCATTTATTTTTTTGGCATAATATTGAAGTGGAAGCATTTATATTTTCAGGTCTTCTTACATTTTGAAGCAAGATAGCTTGCCCCCATCATATAGGTCCTTTCTCAATAAACATGGTGGAAAGGATATTGCCATCCTGCAAGGTGTAAAAGAGATTGCAAGTGGCCTTCCATTCACTAATTTGGAAGCAATAGAGAAAATTTACAAGGCAACAGGAGTAGACATTAAATTAGATCCAAGCATGAAAATCCCCTGTTCGGTACGATCCTTGTTTCTCCCTTTTTGTTGTTCTGTCAAGTAGTACTAATGTGTAGACCTTGTTCATAGTATGCATTCCTTCTTTAGTTGCCTTTCTTCCTTTGGTACTAAACCAATAACAGCAAAGCCTTTACCCCTAACATAGTGTCCACAGTATGAATAAGACTTCACCTTTGGGCTTTAATTAATTAGAACCATATCTTGAGTAAGATCATTAAAGACAGGTGCTTCTTTTCCATACAGGACAAATGTGTATGGCAATTAATGTCATCATGAGATTAAGTTACATGCATATTGAATAGAATTGTTTGCAAGATTTTGAAGAAAACTATGGTCTTAGTTAAGAAAAAGTAATGTTAAGTGACATTCGGCTTTTCATTTTCCCTTATTCTTTTCATATCTCTTTATTTTGGGATAAAAACTTTCCTTCGTGTTGTTTTATCAGAAATTCCAAAATGAAAATCTGAAAACGGAAGCAGGAGAGGGTATGAAGATATTTGAATAGACAAAGTGCATGTCTAAACGTGAATGTGCGACTTCATATTTTATTGCTTTGCATTTCATATGGGCTGGTTATCACCCTGATACGGCCTTGCAATGTTCAGAATTTGAGAACTAATTTAGTGCTTTCCGTCTTCTTCTTGGAATTATGTGCTGACTTATAATTTAAAAGCATGTATCGAAGGCGTTTTTGACAGCTTAAAAATCATGTAGTTATTGTCCGCAGTTATTGATTACAATGTAAAGCACTTGATCATTCTTTGCAGTCTCTAAGCTTTGCAAACAGATCTAATTTGCAAGCACAATTCAGTATTTTCTTTCAAAAATATCAGTTATTTGGATATGGATAGTGGAAATTGGAGTAGTTTAACCACTGTGTTGCATTTAATTGTTCTCTTTGTGATAAGTTCCTTGTGAGTGCTTGCATTAAGCAATATGCTTGATTACTGAAACAAAATAGATTCTGTTGTAGGAATCATTTTGTTTTTGATTTTTGTTTAAATTACTCAGATAACTTTAGAAAGTTCAGAATAGACTTTGAATTCAAGCACTCAAGCTACTATTGCTTGAAGTTTGTTGGCAAAAGTATATTGTTACTTTGAGAATTGTGCTTAATCAAGCTATTTGCAGATGATACATGGGAATCAGTCATGTGGTGCACATGTTGTTTCTTTTCTTATTGAAGGATATAAAAGAGCATTACCGGTATATCTTCCAGTTTATTTGATTCCTGCATTGATAGTTCATCGTCAAGGCCTCTTAAAAAGGTAATGCATATTTACTTGAAATTCTGTGTAATTTTCAGTTAGAATTTGGTTACTTATTATTTAAAGAAGAATTTGTTTACTTTATATGTTAATTTTAGATTATTCTCTGTACTTTGGGCCTTTCATGATTACCATTGTTGGTAAATGCCCTTTTACGATTTGATATGTGATTGAGCTTGTTATAGCATATGGATGCTATAGTTTTTGGCATTCTTTTGCTTCATTTATATTTTGATGAACAGAGAATTATACGTCTAGTTAGGTTTTAAGTCCTCATAATTAGAGCACCAGAAAAAACCCTCCAGTTGACTTGTTCTTTTTCTTCTCATTTTCTAGTTAAAACGAAAGTTGTGCTAGTCTTTTGCTTTCTTTCTGTCTTCCCCCCCCCCCCCCCCCCCCCAACTCTTCTTTTTTCCTGCCATAATTGAGATCAGTGTTGTTATCATTATTGTCTCTTCACATGCAGATGCTCCATGTTATCATATTATTGTTTGACATACTTCTTTTGACCTTAATGCAGGCCTTACACAATATTAGGAAAGGGTATTGTTGGCACTGCCAGATCAAGCTTATTTTTATCTGCGTATTGCACATCTGCTTGGTTAGTGTTCTATTATTTCTACTGTGTCATGCATTCTATTCATATTATTGTCTATTTGTTCTCCAAGATCAGTAGTTCCTACGTGTATTTCAATGTCATATTATTTCTAATGTTGACTTTATGTGCTGAAGTCTGCAGGATAAGGTAGGCTTTGAATAGGATACTAGGTTTGCCTGCCATCTTTAATGTCAAATTACAATGGCAATATGGTTTAGGAAATTTTATATTTTGATAGAAAATGAGGGACTGATACATGTTGAATGAGTCACCTAGCTGAGAAAGGTTACAATATAATCAAACAAAACAAGAATGGTGAGATCTTATATATGATGGAGCTAGAATTCTCTCTCTTTCTTGTACTGCATTTACCAAACATGAACTATGTCAGGCAAGAGAGTCAACATTATTTTATACAAATTGGTCATGTTCGGTGCATAGGATGATGAATAGGATAAGGTGATAATCATCTTATATTATGTTTGGTTTGTATCTAAAAAAAGGGATGAGATTACAAGGAAGGATTAATTATTTTCTTGGTATAGGATGATTTAATCCTCTCAAAGTGGAGAGGATTACTTTTAATCCATGGGATTGAATTTACATATACTATTATACTTTTAAAAATTACATCAATAATTTAAATTATATAAACTTTGAAGAAGGATAATTTTGACCAATAAATAAATTATCTTATACTAGTCCTTGTACACATCAAATATAAAATAGGATGACACTATTTAATCTAATCCTATTCATAATATCATCTTATCCTATCCTATCATAATCTTGTATACCAAATGCATCCATTGAATATTTATACCAAATGTATAAGCTAGATGGGTTTATTCATAACAGGTAAGATGATTTATGGCATTATTTGCTCTTCTTTCATTATTATTATTATTATTATTATGTTTTCCACTTTGCTTTATGTCAAGATAAAGTTGATTACAAGTCAAACTTGTACATATTGCTAAATCAAATTAGTTTGTACCTTGAGCTATTAGATTTTGCTTCCATTGAAATTATTGAGATTTGTCACTGACTAACCACTAATTTTTATACAGGATGTGGACTTGCATCCTGTTTAGGTTTTTCAGAAAATGTAACATACCAATGGTAGCAATGGGAACGGTAAATCACTCTTACCAATTTATCCTGTAAGTTGTAAGCCAAAGTTTTGTTTTTGTTCCTAATGTAGCATGTGTTATTGGGCAGTTTCCAACGGGTCTGGCCTTGGCTATTGAGAAGAAAAGTAGGCGGATTGAGATATCTCTCTACTGCTTTGCACGAGCCATAGAGAGCTTCTTTGCATGCATGACCGATGTTGGGTATTTGCCACAGTCAAAGAATCTGAAGAGAGCTGATGTGGTAATTTTTAGCTTGTCAACAGCAATCATTATGCACTGCTACGCACAAGAGAGGGAAGTGTTTCGCTCCAAGTACTTAAATGTTCTTGATTGGGTCTTTGGCGTGCCGCCTCCCCCATGTGAAACCCCTCGTTGCAAAAATAGTTCAGCAGTTTGAGGGGATTTGGGGTTTAAGAGACATTTATAGCTGAGTATTCGTTACTGTTGAGTGATGAATAGTATTTGTTTGCACTAATAGGCTGGCGGCAACAAGTTACTTGTAGCTAATTAGCAATGCAGGGTAGTAGAATTTACCCCTGCTGAGTTTTTTTATTCTAGTGTTGATTGTCAACATTGAGTAATTTCTGACAGCAACAAAAATGAAAACAAGATTTTGCTTAATAGTTAATTCATTCCTTGTAACTTATGATTCATTACATGAAATCTCTCTGGGTTTCAAGTTTGAGATGTCAAGGTTTTTCCATGAGATAAAGATTTCAATAGCCTATTCATTTCAATTTAATCCAAGGCATCAGGTTCTACTGTTCACATCCAAAATAACAAGGAAAATTATCCTTCATAATCTTCTCATATAATAAAGAAAACAACACCATCAAATCCCCAAACAAAGACTAAAAAAAAAAGTAAGAACCCCTAGTAGATCACCTAGATGCTGAAAAAAAAACGTAAAAACCCTTATTAGATCACCTAGATGCCCAGTAGGCAGCCGCATTGGCTGCCATTCCTTAAACCTCATCCTCATGGAGAAGCATATTCGGAATTCCCTTATTAACAGGAAACTTCCTGCCCGTTTGGGGGCAAACAAGAGCACCTTCCTCGAGATGAAGCTCCAAGAGAGCATGGTGGAACTTTCTCAAAAAATCCAGGTCCGAATCTAACACCGACGGCTCAGGTGACTCCTCAGGAAGCTCGACGTAACCCATGATTTTCGAAGCATCGGAAAACGCTTTCCAATCGATCTTCGGAAATATGTTCCGGAGGAAATCGTGGTTGATTTCGACTTGCTTTTCGACCACTTTCTCCACTTCGATCCCAAGAGGAAAGCCGTTGGTTACCCCCTTGATGTTCGAGGACAGAATGTTGTGAGTTAGCAACCTCATCTCGTTCCTTTGTTTCAGTCTTTTCGCTTGTTTATGTTTCTTTGTATCGGCTTCTGTGTTAAATAGATGAATAACAACACAAATCTAATCTGGTAGATGCTTGGCTTGTTCGCAGGGGCTGCTTTGGCGTATTTCTCATGGAAGCAGGAACATGGTCAAATTTTGGGGGTAATATAGTAATTGGAGATGTTTGGTGTTGTTAGGTATAAGCCCTAGTTCTTTAAGTCCGGTCTAGGTTTGGTCTGGTGACGCAGTTGTTTTAGCCAACAATAGAACTTAGGCCCAACTCACAATATATATCAATTTTTGGTATTAATAGATAGAAATAGAAATAAGTGACTAGTTGGGCTTGTTTAAAGTGCTAAGAGTGGGTTGAGGATGATTTTGGCAAAAACCTAGGTTCAAATGATTGCATTTTCTCTTGTATAAAAAATTAATAATAAAAAAGAAATAATTTTAAGTTTTGATGTTGAATCTGATATCCTTCCAATCTAAACAAAAATTACTATTAACATTACATTTTTAGACTTATTGTAGCACGATGAGATCATATTTGTCTTTTTTTTTTTTTTTGAGATAAAGATTGTATTTGTTTTAGTAGCATGCCTAAGTGAAAATAACATGAAATTGCATCAAGAAAAAAAAATTTGCCCAAAAACTTTTAAGAATTGAATATAATTGGTCACTAAATGGCACATGCTGACAAATGCACATCTTGCTTGCTCTAATTTCTGTTATGAAAATTGAAAACTTGGTATCCATGATGGCAGAATAGGAGAAGAATCAAACCATATCTTTAGTTGTCACAATTGTGCATACATACATAAATACGTATGTGAACCAAGAAAAAACTCCTGAAGTTACAGATTCAACAATCCAAAAGAAGTTGGCAAACACTGATTATCCCAAAACTCGGTTGAAAAAAAAAAATCTGTAGAGTTTATTGATTAACTTGATATGAAAGTCCACCACTTGTACAGACCAAAGCCATAAATTGTGGTGTAAATAATCACTCTCATGGGGTAGATCCTGTACCTGCACAGAACCAAACTTTGAGATAAACCTAATAATAATCGGATCATCTCCTAAAGTACTGGCAAATGGTTAGTTCCAATTCCATTATTTTCTCCAAAGTTTCTTCAACAAGTTCTTATTTGGGGAAGTCCAGACAGATAAGGAAATTGAATGAAAACATTGCAGCTTGAATGTACAATATTCCTGGCAGGCACGTACTTTGAATAGATCAGATCAATCATATAAGAAACCAGTATAGGATAGGCTAGGAGACGATTAATGTGTATATTGGTCTGAACAGTCATGCACCAGCCAAAAGGCTGATCAGAAACCACTCATGGTCCAGTCCACTGCCCATCCTTGAAGTGATTAAAGGTGGGTAGAATCTATCCCAGCCAATTCATTCAAGAGTTCAATTGTATGGAGTGTAAAACACCCATGGCTTCATTCAACCAACCCAAGTAATACACTGTACTTGAGCTAAATGGAGTAAGGTTGATTTTGGGTACTGTAATATGGTACTAATTAAATAATAGTAAGAAATTACAATGTAACTCTTTATAATTTTAAGAGATAAAAATACAGTTTTATTAACTCAACCATCATGTGAAATAAATGATCTGATAATTTATATATTCATATATGTATATTTTATGTCAAATATATATAAATCATAAAAATTATTATGTAGCTATATATATATATATGTATGTAAAATATGGAAAGAAGAAAATTGGAAAAAGTAAAATCAAAACTTGTATATCTATGAGGAAATAAATACTAACAGGACAAAAAAGAGAGAATTGAAGGAGAAATTAACTAACCTTTTTAATCCAGACCTTCGAGCAAGAACAGCCACGCCTTCGTCAGCAGTAAACGGATAACACCACCGAGAAAAATCACGATCGAAGTAATCCCAGTCGGGCAAAAGTATCCCAGCAATCCCAACCATCCCAAAAGCATAGGTTATCACCATTTTCTTTAAAGAAAACGTGAATATCCCAACTAACACTATTACCACCGCTAGCCATACTATAGCTGACCTTAGAGCAGCATCGTTCGCCATTTGATCAGTTCAAGGAAAAAAAAAAAAAAGACAGCTACCCGACCGTGCCTAATAATAAAGCTTAAGGAACAAAAGAAGGGTGTGGATGTGAATGGTAACCCGTGGAGGCACTGAAAAATGAGGAAGAAAGAGTACGTTTTGGGTGTTTTTGATGAAATTAATGAAAGAACTAACCGCTTTTAATGCCTATAGTCTCAACGGTTCCTTCGCTTCTTTAAATGGTTGTTGGATAGAGTTAGTGTTTCTTAAAATTCCTCCGACTCTAACGTCTCATGCGTGCTACCGAGTCTGACATGTTTCCATTGCCATGCACAATTTCCTGTTCTTGACTTCAACTTATTTCTGATTTCTTCGTCTCTTCTCTAATCATCTTGTTTCTTCAATGCTTTGTCTAAACCAGAGAAACATTAGTAGTAATATTTCTCTTCGTTTCACTACTCCTTTTTCCCGATTTTTTTGTTCAATTAAAATTTCAAACATTCTAAGAGATTAAGGTTCAGATTGAGTGATTGACGTTACAATTGGATTGCAACTTGTTAATGAAAATTTGGTCATTAAATGTTGATGTTACAATCTAATAAGTAATAACCACAATTTCGTTTTTGGTGGAACAAAATTCCTTAAACTATATATAAAAGGCCTCTAGAACACCTAAAAAAAAAAACTGGGTTCTGACCTATTGTTTGCCTCTTCCTCTTGTGAGACATTGGCTAACAGGTTAAAATGTAGTAATTGATTGGAATTTTTATTTTAATTTTAAAATTAGAATATTGCATTTTTATTTAATGCAATAATTACTATTATTAATTATTGCATTTATTTGAAAACAAACGTAGTAATTGAGTAATTACGTCAAATTATTTTTAAAATAATCAATTACGACGTTTATTTATTCATTACATAATAATTGATCATTATAATATTTTTAACATCATCAATTATTATGTTTATTTTAAAAAATAATACAATAATAGTTCATTATTATTTAAAAAAAATAAATTATTGCATTTTTTATATAAAAGCGATAATTATATAATTTAAAATTTTTAAATAAATTAAATACTGTGTTCTTTTGAAGATAAACATAATAATTGATCATTATTTTATTTTATTTATAAATGATTGCTCGAATATTATATCATTTATCTGTTTTTTTAACAAAATATTATATTTGATATGTTGTCAAAGACATTATGATAAAATACATAATTTAATAGATTCATATTCTCCCCAACAAAATACAAAAATCTAAAATTGGAATGTTATAAAAATCACACTCTCTTCCAATAATCACATTTTCCCCAATATCATATTTTCTTTGGAAATTCAACATTTCGCAAATCAAACGTCTTTTTAGAGTTAAACCTTCTATTTATCACTTATAATTATAAATGGTTCATCAAAATTGATATACTGTATTTTTACCCTTGAAACAGTGTGATTAAGAATTATAGCCAATGAACATATGCGATTGTCTCGTTGCTTATTTGATAAATGAAGATTAGTTAGGTTAACCACTACAGAAGAAAATATTCACTGAGACAATCTCAAAGATAACAACATAATCATAAAAACTTTGTTTTCATTGTTTGTAATGTAAAATAATTAAAATCTCATCATCCAGTAGGTAACAACTCATACTAGTTGTTGACTTCAACTTATGCTAGAAAGTCGACTTTTTTTTTTGGCCATTATCTAGTTGATTTTGAGTAGCCAAATTTGAATCGGATTGATCATGTCTTATTATTATTTTGTTCTTAAATATTAAATCACGATGAAATTTCATTAAAAGTTTTATATGCATCAATTTTTTTTTGCCACAATTTCATAAGAATTAGGACAAAAACCTTCGCTTCGATTCAAGACTTGTATAATTTATATGTAATTGTTTCAAAAGAACAAGATAATTAAAAAATTTTTGTCATTATATTACATTTACCATTATGAAATACTTTAACATCATAAAAATATAGCGAAAATAAAAAATTTATTAAATAAAAAAAAATACATATGTATAACTCAAATATAAAACTATAATTAAAACCCAAAAATAAATAAAATAAATAAATAAATAAATATAATGTTAGTGTGGTGTTATCCCGCATATGATAAATATTCAATATTTTGTAATCTTATATTTAAGTTAAACTTCTCAACTTACTATCAATTAATTTTAAATTAATTATTTAACATGATATCAAAATCAGAATTTATTCTATTGTCCTTTTCAAATCTATCACTTAGTAGGTTCCTTCCATATCCGTCTATATATGATGGGGATATGTTAGTAATAACCTGTTAGTAATAGTCTTATATTCAAGTTGAATATTTTTACTTGTTATCAATTGATTATACTTAACATTAATATTGAATTAGATTTTATCAAAATAAATCAATATATTTAAATGTAAAAAATTCTCATATCAGTCTTAATTTTAAATTTCGATACCTAAACTACCCCTCCACCTTAAAGGTATTCTAAGTATACATGTAAATTTACTAAATAATATTTTTAATCATTGTCATTTTGATCTAAAAGTCAAAAGAAATGTAAAATTTATATTGGTATAAGTGAATCCTTTCTCGTATATTATATATATACAAAAGAAAAAAAAAAGGTCTTACTCCATCCACTATAATATTTAGCCACTTTATACGACTAACTCTTTGGTGAAGGCTTTTTGGGAGATTGTGATAAAAAAAAAATAATAATGTTCAAGCTCTTGTTGGTGCTTTTGTTATCTATTTATTTAATTTTGTTTTTTAAAAAATAAAAAGCAAAAGTATCATCCAAATGAAGTCTAATCTGTTTGATGAATAGCAAAACTTGTGGTTTCGGTGACTAGAAATGCCGATAATGGGTCAGAGTTTGATCATTCAGAGTCTTGTAAGGGGATCTCGGCTTTATTTTAACAAAAAAAAATGATGAATAAAAAAAATAAATTGTAATGTAATTACATGCATCCTACAATCTGTTCAACTTCAAAATTGTTGAACTTCAGATTGGACTACTAGCCATTCAGGTTTTTGCCTAAATGAGTGATGTTGAGTGAAATTGTTTGATTAACTATCACTTTCACCCCTTTCTAACCGTAGCTCTGCTTCTGATGTTAGTACCAGCAGAAGTCAATTCCCAAGTATGGCTGAAACTCCCACAAGTTATGGCATCAACCACATTTTTAATCCTAGTTAAACATAGAATAAACCAACTTGCTTCACATGATATTCAATTTCCAGGACATTTTCATAGCATATTTAAAATCCCCTAATGGAAGTGTGTGCTGCTTGGGCCAAATTTGACAGTATTGGCTTGTCTCA